TGGAACTACAAATACTAGTACAAACAGAACTACAAATACTAGCCCAAACAGAACTACAAATACTAGCCCAAACGGAACTACAAATACTAGCCCAAACAGAACTACAAATACTAGCCCAAACGGAACTACAAATACTAGTACAAACAGAACTACAAATACTAGCCCAAATGGAACTACAAATACTAGTACAAACAAACTACAAATACTAGTACAAACAAACTACAAATACTAGTACAAAAAGAACTTCAAATACTAGTCAAGATAGAACTACAAATACTAGCCCAAACAGAACTACAAATACTAGCCCAGATAGAAAAACAAATACTTGTCCAAACAAACTACAAATACTAGTACAAAAAGAACTTCAAATACTAGTCAAGATAGAACTACAAATACTAGCACAAACAGAACTACAAAAACTAGCACAAACTGAACTACAAATACTAGCCCAAACAGAACTACAAATACTAGCCCAAACAGAACTACAAATACTAGCCTAAACAGAACTACAAATAGTGGCCCAAACAGAACTACAAATACTAGCCCAGATAGAACTACAAATACTTGTCCAAACAAACTACAAACACTAGTACAAAAAGAACTTCAAATACTAGCACAAACAGAACTACAAATACTGGTCCAGACAGTGTTCTCTGTGCGTTGAATGTCAGAGAGTTTATTGCTTCAGGTTTATATTTTAAACTCTTGGTCCTGTTTGTGGCTCTGGGTTTGTGTAGCCTGAGGTGTGAGCCGAGTGCTACCCGACCGGTCCAGACCCGCTCTAGACCCGCCCCAGACCCGCTCCAGACCCACACCCGCCCCACACTCGCTCCGCCACTAACACTGGAATTCAAGTCCTGGAGTCAGAGGTCAGCCTGCCCCCAGGTGAGTGGACTAACCCAGGACTAACCAGGACTAAACCAGGACTAACCCAGGACTAAACCAGGACTAACCCAGGACTAAACCAGGACTAAACCAGGACTAACCCAGGACTAACCCAGGACTAAACCAGGACTAAACCAGGACTAAACCAGGACTAACTCAGGACTAACCCAGGACTAAACCAGGACTAACTCAGGACTGGAGCCTAAACAGACACCTCTGCACCACACCAGTCCAAGGCAGTATTAGTACAAGGAAATATATACATATATATATATATATATATATATATATATATATATATATATATATACATATACCCTGTGTGTCAGATGCCCTCCCACAGACAGTGTCAGTGATAGAAATGATTAGAGGAAAAACATTTGTGGATTTGACTCTTGGATATTTCAGATGAAACATCAGAATGAGAATCTGCAGAAACATCTGCAGATTCCAGAGCACGTCTGAACCTGTCCACACACTTCACCATGGACTACACTCCTGGTTCAGTCCTGGTTTAGTCCTGGTTTAGTCCTGGTTTAGACCTGGTTAAGTCCTGGTTTAGACCTGGTTTAGTCCTGGTTTAGACCTGGTTTAGTCCTGGTTTAGTCCTGGTTTAGTCCTGGTTTAGTCCTGGTTTAGTCCTGGTTTAGTTCTGGTTTAGTCCTGGTTTAGACCTGGTTTAGACCTGGTTTAGTCCTGGTTTAGTCCTGGTTTAGACCTGGTTTAGACCTGGTTCAGTCCTGGTTTAGTCCTGGTTTAGTCCTGGTTTAGTTCTGGTTTAGTCCTGGTTTAGACCTGGTTTAGACCTGGTTTAGTCCTGGTTTAGTCCTGGTTTAGACCTGGTTTAGACCTGGTTTAGTCCTGGTTTAGTGTGATCGTTATATTTTGGCTGATGGATTAAACTCATGTTTGTGAAACTCTTGTTACACAAGCTCAGTAATCCTCCTGAAACCAGGACTAAACCAGGACTAAACCAAGACCAAACCAGGACTAAACCAGGACTAAACCAGGAGTAAAATCTGTGAGCCACGGCGCCCAAGTAATTTCCCTGTGGATCAGTAAAATTTGTGTAAGTGTAGGTCTACACCAGAACTGAACAGAGACTAAATCAGGTCTGAACCAGGTCTAAACCAGGTCTGAACCAGGACTTAACCAGGACTGAACCAGGTCTGAACCAGGACTTAACCAGGAATGAACCAGGTCTGAACCAGGACTTAACCAGGACTGAACCAGGTCTGAACCAGGACTGAACCAGGTCTGAACCAGGACTAAACCAGGTCTGAACCCGGTCTAAAACAGGCCTGGTTTAGATGTTTCTGCTGTAGTCGTCTTCTCAGGTTGATTTCAGTTACAGGAACAACCACAGACCACTTCCTCTGCGTCTGGAGAGGAAGTACTGCGACTACTGCAAATGTACTACTGCACATGTACTACTGCACATGTACTACTGCACCAGTACTACAGCACCAGTACTACTGCAGATGTACTACAGTACCAGTACTACTGCACCAGAGTACCATTACTGCTGAAACGGTACTCCTACTACTACTGCATATAGTGACAGAGAGTACTGCATGAGCTCTTGTGCATCAGTACTACATGATACTACATGATA